AGTGCTTGTAGTTGCCACTGACAGACTCAGATTGTTATTCTCAGTGTCTGACAGCATTATGGAAAGGATCCCTACAGAGATAGACCTTTAGTTTAAACATAATATCGCTCTCTCCTCACTTTATTCAAAGTGGAAAGAAACAGAATAAAACTCACCGTCTTTGTTAGTATTTACACTGTTCCAACAATCACCAGTGTAGATGATAAAAACTACTGTTTCGATCGCTCTACTCAGCTGAACACAGCCAGACCTGCTCTGTAAACAAACCACGGAGAGGCTGCGATAGCTCCAGAGGAAGAGGGAGTGTGACATTGTCTTTACATAGTTTTTGCTGGTATAGTTCTCTTTTGAATCTCATATATATATATATATCTATTTTAAGTAAAGAGAAAAAGAAAGAGAGAGAAAATGGATATAGTTTGTTCATCAATTTTCACATCATTCATTTTGCATATTTTGAATTTAATCTGATTTGAATATGATCTTTACCTAATTTCTTTTAAAATATAATCTGTTTTTCATCTTTGAGCCTAGTCCCACATAGATTATAATGTCCATGCTAACCACAGGTTCTTCTTCTTTTTCAAACAAACCTGAAATTTAAATGCATCACTTCCTGTGTGGCAGGAAGGAATGAGGAAGTGCTTCTCAACCTTGTTGATACACCCTGAGCTGTGAATTTCTGACTCAAACATCCTGAAAGATTTAAAAGCTTGATGACAGAATGTATGAAGAGAAATTTCTACTGTACGGTATCAGTTTCATACTGTACAACAACAGTAATTCCCCCTGTTGGTCTCTTACAGCTGTGGTGCGACTTCGACAAGTCCAGCACCTTCAAGAACCAGACGTACAACGAGTCGGCCTCTATCCCAGACATCTGCTTCTACCCAGAGGTACCAACTAAATGAGTTGTCTGAATTTTGCAGTCAGGTCCATCTGTTTTTCTTTTTTTTTTTTTCACTTCTGCAACTGCAGCAAAATGATGAATTAAACATCCTCGACATCTGCTCGCACCCAGAGGGAGGTCTCGCCTCAGACAACGGCGACTGATGGAGCCATCAGAATGTCACACAGAAAACATCCATTATGTTATTTTGCTCACACAATATGCAGCTGATTGATGGACTCAATAAGGGAGCTACATTTTTATAGCTCCAAGCTTTGGTTGAGGCACATATCGTTGCGTGTATATGTCACAACGTTGTTTCCTCCAGAGGGGCAGGAAAGCTCGTGTGTGCGAATAAGAGCTGTTTTTAGATGCATAAAAAAGAGTTATTGACTTTCTCTAGCTGGGGCAAAACCAGACTGGAATATTAGATTAGACAAAATTATAAGCTTTTGGTGCAGCTGAATGTCAAGTATTTATTATATTTAGGCCTTTATTGTGTGTTTTATTCTCTTTAAAGGGGGTCAGTTTAGTACTCATGGTTAATACAAATCAACCGGTGAAAAACATTTGTAGAATATCCTCTGTGGCTCTCGAGGCAACACAGTCTCACTCCCAACTCGTTAAATACTGCTGCTTGGTCAATGGCAACATGGTTTGCTATACCATTCATGTAGTTTTCATTGGAAAAGCCTTCAGTGCCATTATTGCTCTTGCTAGCAGCATCTATGCTAAACTCTTTAGCAGCCACCATTGTTGTTTAATGAAGCTGCACCCAACCCCGTAACTGCCAGAACTTTCTTAAAGGAAGCAGATTGGTCTCATACCACTGTACCCGCCATAAACACATAGATTGAAACCTGGCAAGATGGATTCTTATCTGATCTCATAAGTCCAGTTGCCTTGTAAGGTTCAGTTATTTCTGGACAAGAATCTGGTTAGTCTGGTTAGACTTTCAAAATAAAGCTTGTGTGGTTAACGTCGGGAACCGTTAGATTTGATTTAGGCACTATTTGGTTGGTTTTGGAAATGGACATAGGTTACGTTATGACTAAGTACGTTACATAAGTTAAGTTACGTAGATGACTTGACAAGTACTTGTGTACTTTTGGTTTTGAACGGGACACCAACAGCAGTCTCCAGGGTTAAATTCCTGTGTTGGTTTGATCCATGCTTTATTTGACAACTTGGGAGTGAGACCGAATTGCTTGAGGTGTTTTGTCAAGTCTGAGAAGGTTTGTCAGTTTGGGCTTGGACACTTCAAATTATTAACAGAAAGCCTGTGTTACAAACTGGGGGCATGGACTTGAACAGATATGGGTGTTAAACAGGCAAGAAAATCTTATGAAAAGATGCCTTATGTGATATGTAGGCTTTAGTGTTTGGATTTGACCCACGTTAGAGACTAAAAGTAAGTATCTTGGATTTAGAATTTTTTTTAAATGATTTATTATTATTTATTATTGTATAATTATTTTCCCCCAAGATGATGGAAATGCAATTGGACAAATTAAATTTTGACCTCTTGGTGGCACTAGGAAAAGTCACCAAGTTCATCTGTGAGGGGAACATGAACATGTTTCAGTAAAAGCTGGATCTGATCATATCAACCATGTCTTTGTTGTTTGTTGTCAGTATTTTGTGTTCACGGGGGTGCTGGCGATGGTGACGTGTGCAGTGTTCCTGCGGCTCAACTCGGTGTTGAAGCTGGCGGTGCTGCTGGTGATGATCGCCATCTACTCCCTGCTGACCGAAGCTTTCTACACCTCGTTGTTTGTGCGCTACGACACTGTCCACCACAACACAGAGTAAGTTTTCACATTGCATTTACATCTTCATACTCTCAAATATCAGATTCAGCCAAATAAATCGAGGTTCAGTTGAGGGGAGACACTACATAACTGATAGATATCACCATAAAACTTCCCCAGTTGTTTACTCACATTAAGACAATTCGTTTTCGTATTACAACTTTTCTAAAATGTCATGTTTAAATAAGCAAATGAGGCGTTATCTAATAAGAAATGTACTATCTTGCATACATTTCCAGACAGCATTGTAAACATTGGTTAAAGCCGGGTTCAAAATTCATTTTAATACATAATAGAGTCAAAGATACAACTTTTCACTCCATGAACTAGAAAATACCATGAAAAATCCATTATTGCCATGTTTTTAGGAATAAATAATATATGTTATATAAATCAGTAATATATGAACAAACCCTTCAGTAAAAACCTACAGAATATAGATAGGAATAAGGTTCAGTGCATGTAAGTGCTCTGTGGAGATTTCTGGCTCATAGTGCGAGAAAAAACGTATTTGAGAAAACATTGTAGACTAATGTCTGATGTGTCTGCGTGATTTGCAAAAAATAGATCTCACCATGAAACTTCCCCAGTTGATTACCCACATTAAGACAATAATTTTTTTGTATTACCTAATTTGCATACTTAAACATAGAATTTCAGAAAACTTGTGTTATCTAATGCTAACTTTTGGTGAAATCTACAGACACAAATAGACAAAGTGTAGTAAAACAGACACTAAAGGTGTATTTTGGGTGTTTGTTTTCCTGCTAGTCTGAAAAAAAGACATTATGGAAGAAAAATAGCAAAAACAATCCACCAGTGCATGAATGTTAGTGGTACATGTTTACAGCTTGTTGATCATCTGCAAACTTCCAACAGTCCATCTATCTTCTTGTATGAACAGCAACACAAGAACAAAACCTGACTGAAACTCACTGTCTGCAGTTTATTAACAAAGTACACTTGTTAAAGTAAAGACGGGTACATTACCGTCTCCTCGCTTCTCTCGCTGTTTCCTCGCTGCTTCCTTCCACATCAGGGAGCCACGTTGACCTTATTTCTGGACAGAAATGTTGCAAATGTGAGAAAACTCATCTCCCAGGTTGTCAGTGTTAGTACAGTGACCTTTACAGTGACAATATATAAAGGTATCCTGAGCATATAGCCGTGAAAGACCTGAAGAAAAAAAGCACCATACCCCCTCCAAGCAGAGGTTTCCATACAGGCTCCATAGGGAGTTGATGGGAGTCATTTCTTTAAGGCCTTCAGGGATGCGAGAGAGAAGGTCAAGATGAAAAGACCTCAGAGCGAGAGGACTTTGTATGATTTCTACTGCAAAAGGTTCCAGACCGGAGTGACTTCAGCGCAATATTTTATTAATTTGTGCGAATGTGAATGAAAACAGTGCTGTGAATGAATTCAAAGTAGCATTAATATGATACTAATGTCATCTTTTATACAAACATTTGCAAACACTTTTTGTCGTTTCTCAGACTAACTCCAATATATGAGCAGCTTATTCTATATTTCTCCCCATTTTTGTCTTTGTTCTCCATTACTGGAAACGTTTCCTGATCTGTAAATGCTGCAAGAGGACCTTGTTTACTTGAACAATCAGTGTCTCCTCAGAGCAGCAGTCAGGACAAATGTTGGTGTGTAAGTGAGAATCAGTTTAAATGAACCTGCTCCTTTTTGAGCTTGTGAAGTGGTGTGTTGCGTATTCTTTGGATACGAATGACATGAAACGTATATTTCTTTGTCATAACATTATTATCCGCAGTCAAAAAGAATTACCCAGGGAATCTAGCTCGTAATTCTCTATAACATTGCCAGAGCGGAGTATCTACATCTCTGTGAGCTTTTAATCCTCAATGAGCCTTAGATCAGCCTGAGATCCTGCAGGACTTCTGGTCCTTCTGCAGTCTGAGCTGAAACCAAAGACCCCCGCTGTGTGGATAAACAGGCCACAAACATCAGCGTCATCTCTTAAGACTCAACTGCTTAGGGCCACTTTCTCTCAATTGTCGTCCTCTGAATTAGTTTTTAGTTTAATGTGGTGTGGTTTTGTTTCTACACTTTGCTCCTGCTGCAATTTATTTTTTGTAAAGCAGTCCATGAGCTGCCGTGTCATATATATATCAGAAGAGAACACTGGTTGGTTGATTTAGAGTCCTTCATTTTCCTATTTTTCCTACCAAATATAAGGGTTAGCTTTAGGACAGTAAATTCTAGGTTAGGATTGTACATCCTGGACTTTCTCGCAGTGGGTTAGGGTCAAAATATTGTGTCCTGGTTTGATTAAAAACTATAGGAAATGAAAGCCAGCACAACAAAGTATTTAATTTGATTTTAAGAAGTGATGCACTGTTAAAATCAACAAGCTACACTTTTTTTTTTTTAAGAAAACCAGCAAATGAACAAAACTCCTTCAGCAACAACTTCCCTATTTTTGCTCCAACAGAAACTTCCTGGGGACCAAAGAGACGTCTCTGCTCCTGATGGCCATGTTCCTCCTTGCTGTGTTTTATCACGGCCAGCAGGTAAGACAACGCCAGCTTTGACACTTCCATCACCACTAAAACCTGATTCATCTCCAAATGATCACCAGACCTTAACCATCGGGGTGTCGGATCAGAAAATCTTTGTGTGTCTTTTTTCCAGAAAGCACTGGCAAGTTATCTTGTTGTTACGGTCTGAAAGCTTTTGAAAATATAGAGATTATTGGCTCTACAGAGACACATACTCTTTCTTCTGAGAGGATTCAAGCAGCGTCAGACAGTGCACGGTTTGAGTTGTGAACGGAAAAGGTAAAGACTGAGCTTCATGTGCAAGATGAGGCATTGCCACCATATTCTCCTCCCAAAAGAACAACTTTACTGCCGCTGCACTGGGCTTTAACACGATCAGCGCAGCAGAGCTAACAGTCAGTGGTGAACCTCTGCTTTAAATAACAGAGACAACAAGAGTTGCATCATTCTTGTTGCCATGCAGCGTCTAATTAGAAGTCCTGACGGTACTCAAACAAGACAATGAGAGTCCAATTTCACATATATTAACATTTACCACTGAAGAAATGTGCCTTGCCCATCCAGCTGCTGCTGTACTTTATCTGTGTGACGCTAATGGCTAGCAAGGTGCATTATGGGTAAAGCTTCTTTTTTTTAATGAAAGTTAGCCAACACGAACCACAGGGAGTGTTTCAGCAGCGTATATATTTGTGTATTTTGTCCTAAAAAAGGTAACAAAAGGCTTAAAATCTCCACTAACACTGAATTCGCTGCTTCAGCTGCACAATATCTACTTACACTATAACTAAACGAAGTCGTCCGTGAGCTAATCATTGTCGCAGCCAATGACACAGAACTGCTTAATAAAGACAGAAATTGAGAGACTTTCTAGCCATAAATGAGAAAAGATGAAATCAACCACTTCAAACACTTTAATAATAATTTATTGATTGTTTCTGTTGAACTTGGTGGGGATGAGGTATATGGGCATAAATAATAACACAAGTCTCAGGCAAACTTTCATCTTATAGTGTAAAAGATTCGGCTGAATATCAGTTACAAGATTCTGCGCAGCAACGTTTCAAATATACGGCTGAGCTGGAAGCACCGAGCTGACAGGACGTTTTTAATTCATGTGTATCAGAGACTTCAGGCTCATCTGCAGTGACACTTGACTTCTTGGCCCCGAGCAGTAAGTACTGACTTTCTACTGAGGGAAGAGTTCAAATGAGACGGTTTCTTGAAACAGATATTGCTGTTAAAATTTTTAAATGAACACAGAATCCCCTGTATTTGGACTGGAGGCAAAAATCTCAGAAACAGATGTCTTAAAACCTAGACAGATAATACGAAAGGTTTCCCTAAGTCTAGACACTATCTCCCAATGCGGAGTAAGTGGATAAAGGGGTTACACAGTAAATCTGAGGGGTTGTGAGATAAATAAAGGAATAAGAAAGAAGAAAACATATGCAAGCTGTGATGGAGGGGTTCAAGTAGCTTTAAGGGGTCACAAGCCAGAAAGATTGGGACTCATCCAGAGAAAACCATCCTGTTGGGTGTAATATCTGACCCCCAGAGACACATCTTCAGATACAAAGAGAACCAGAAACAAACCACTTTCTTTTCACCCATCTGATACATTATACATATTTTTCATAAAGATGCAGTCAGTCAGCAGCCTGAAGGAAACTGGTATCACCGTGCTGCTTTCATGCTCTCTCTATGGCAACCTTTGATCATGCAGTTCAGCGGCTCGGTGTCGGGCAGAGATGGAGGAGAGACGGACCATAATTGAAGGTCCTTTGTTGGCCCATGAAAGTAGAAAGCAGCCGCATTTGAAGTCATCCAGTGGCATATTGATTTTCCCAGGGTCAATTCTACCACTTGTTTGGCAAAGCAGAGACAATGACAGCTCGCAGCGTGAAGCAAACCCTCACAGCTCTGAAAAAAGCTGTTTGTGTGAGAGAAAAGAGACTGTTTGCTCTTTGAAGGGAGGTACAGTGTACAGAATGGGGTCCAGCTCTCTGTTTTAGTGCAGTGTTAATAGTTTGATGTGCCAGGTTTGGACACAATGTGAACTCTGTAACTGGCTTCTGCAAAATATCCAGTATTATCTTTTGGTTTAATTTGTAAAAATAAGCTGAGTCACTCTTTCCTGTTATTTAAACGCAATAACTCAACAGTAGTTCTGAGCGCACTTAAATTTAGATCAGAATTTTTTCATCTTTGGGATTGGACTGATTGATTAATTATACATAGCTTTAATTGTACATCAGCTGTTTTGACAGGTAATGTAATAATTTGCTTTAGTGGAAGAAAACTGACTTAAGAGTTAACATTTGTATAAAAAAGACGCTTTTAAATGACTTCAATTACATTCTGTTCACACATTTTAAATAAGTCTGGAGAAATGCTGCATATGAGGGTTCCCAACCTTTTCTATCATTCAGTAAACTGACTCAGTGACATATTTTATTAATATTTCATATGCTATTAAAAACTGTACAATGAACCCAAACAGTGAACCACAGGTATCACCGCATTAGCGCTGAAATCCAGCAAGAAAATACTGATTCGGACTTAGTGTTAGAAACCTTGGTGGAGCTAACACGGTTTCTCCAGAAATAACACTTCACTGGGCATTGATCTGGCTGATCAGCCTGCAATACGAGGAGCATTTCTGAAACAGCAGCCCAACAGTAATCACTCATCTGACATTTTCAGAGGGGAGTGGGTTTGCTGCTTAGAGGAAGTAAACCAGAGGTAATATATCACCAAAGTAAACACAGGAATAATGAAGCAGCTTCATCATTTGGATTCTGGAACTAGAACAAGGCGTTTCAGTCCTTTTGTAGCTGCGAACTAACAGCGGCGCCATCTATTGTTGAGAAAACACACAGGGTGTAAAGACATTAGTTAGTGCTTCTTTCAGACGTGACGTTCAAGTGACTGCATTTTGTGGAGGAGAAGAGCCTATTAGGGCGGAAAGATGGAGGAGGCCATTTCGCTCTTTTATTCATCTTGTCGGCCTTTTTCATTACATAAATCTCATTCTGCTCTTGTTCAGTGCTTGTTAAATGTGAATGTCTGATATCTTTACAATAACCCGCAGAACAACATTTGCACACATTTTCCATTTACATTAAAATGCTGCAAGCACACAATGAATTACGTGAGGCTGGGAAAATCTTTGCTGATCACAGTACAGTTTCTACATTATTGTGCATTTAACTAGCACTAATAAGAGATAATGTATTGAGTTAAGCAGTTTTTTGACACTTTCATATGTTTTCTGCTGTGTTCTTTATATAAACAAATTGTGCACTGGAGCCAGATGATGTTGTTCTTCATGAACGCTGCTTCCTGTCACAGCAGTAATTACATTATCAAGCACAGCGAACATGAAGCATTTCATTACAAAGCTGCAGACAGGACTCTTATTTTGAAATAATTCTGTTGAGTCATTTTAAGCTGTCTGGGGCAGCTACGGTCACTGTCACCGCTCATTTGTCATCTGTCAATCGCTCACAATCAGAAATATGTACACGAAAGACTTATTTTACCAGCATCTGGCTGCTGGTTGGTGCTAATTTTGTGCCCTGACAGAGTTCACAGAGAGAGAGAGCAGGAGGAGAGAGAGAATACATCATAAAGTGAAAAGTTACTTAAACAGTAAAACAATGCTAACATCCAAACATTTTTATTTAATTTACTGTTTATTTGATAGCAACAGACAATTACAATGAACCAATGCAATGTATCACAGCATTTATAGCTGCTAGTGATGACCAATATCAATGTGTATATATAATATTCTAATTTCAACACAATATTTGAACCCTAGCTGGTGAAAGGCTGCGAGATGAGAACATATGACTGTATTCTGCAGTAATTACACAGCGTGTAAGATGCCAGCAGCTCTTAACACTGAGTAAAATGTTTATTAAGAGTGTATCTATACGTCCCTGAGGGTTAATAAAAGCCATTTTGAATCAAAGCGTCACCCAGCCGTAGGGTCACGTTGGTTAACGCCTGAGCGACCCGTTATTTCGCTGGCCACCATTTCATTATCCCGCCACCAAACCGGCCTGGCGGGCTTTGCATTCTTAATTAGAAAAACAGAAAATGAGATTGAAATTTTGTACTCACTCATATGATTAAAGGACTAATTGATAGCAGGATTAATCACAAAACTGTTTCCGACAATCGCCGGAGAGAGTCGCTTAAATCCTCACAGGCTTATCTGCCTGCCCCCGAAATTAATTTTCAATATGAGGGATGTTTTCTTTTTGTTCTGCCCCCACTCTCTCCCAGAAGTACAAACTAAATGGTACCAACTTTTGTTTGGCTCTAATGTATTCAAATTACTTTGTATTAATTGTGCATTCAGAAAAGTAATTTGTGTCGCCTATTAGAATCCTTTTGTTGCACTCAGATTGATCGCGCTCTCTCGTGTTGCATAATTGATCCAACCTTTAACAGATTTTTTTAATTTAGCCCTTCATTATAGGAACGGCGGCTCGGCCTTTCCATCATCCAACTGATATAAACGACAGATTTTCTGTTGATATTTCTAAGCAATTAACAAAGTCTGGAAGGAGGAGAAAGTTTCAGGTCTTCAGAGGTTTGAGAAGTAGCATCAAATGTTTGGAGACCATGGAAAATACGTTCTATTTCACTGTATCTTGTAAAATGTATTCCACTCACAGCCAATCTTGGACCAATTAGCGCCGTATCTTTTAACAATAAGTATGAAAAAACAGCTGTTGTGTTTGAATGGTGCCTGCAAAACCTTCAGTGTACTTATGTTAATTTTACCTTTACCTTTACCTTTGTATGGTTTGTGGTCGACAGAAATGACATACATCTGGATGAGCTTGGCAATGCTTCAATAATGAGCTAATAATGATCTTCATTAGAAAACCTCAGAGTCTTTTGGTTGACGTCTCGTGTTATCAGCCATGATCTTGATCTCAAATAGAGACAAGCTTGAAAGCAAACACAAATTTGGGTCAGACTGGAATAATATTTCACAAATGATGTCTAAATTTGCTACAGTATGCTTTTAAAGGACTGCATTATCAGAGTTATTGGTCTCTGTGAAGAGATATCTCTAGCATCAGGCAGGGTCAGGATGAGTGTCTGAATATGGTGAACTGATTTGTCAGTAGACGTAAAGGTTTGTTTCAAGAGGAAATAATATCTTAAAGTCCCGGAAAGCTTGGTTTGAAATCAGGTATTTCTTTATGAAATCCAATATTTATACGCATGAATCAAAGTTCAGAGTTTAACACTCAGAATTTCAGCTAATGTGCTTCTCAAGGACTCTGCAGCTTAAGTATCTCACAACTGGAAAATACGTGAAAGAACATGAAAACATACAGTATTTTTACTTGAGGACTACAATGAATCAGTAAGTAAAGGGTTGAAAAGGCACCACTGGCATTCAGAAGATGATCGACGAGCAGCTCCTCATCAGAATGATGAACTGAGAGAGGAGACAGACGAGGTGGTGATCATGCGAGGATGAACACATTACTAACTTTCCTTTGTGTTTCTTCCGTCTTTAGCTGGAGTATACGGCCCGGCTCGACTTCCTGTGGCGCGTCCAGGCCAAAGAGGAGATCAACGAGATGAAGGAGCTGCGAGAACACAACGAGAACATGCTGAGGAACATCCTGCCCAGCCACGTGGCCCGACACTTCCTGGAGAAGGACCGGGACAATGAGGTCCGCACAAACAAACCCGCTTGCACGTTTGAATTTTTAATGAAACAAATGCTGAATATTCAGTTTGCTTTAAAAGCTCGTAGAGATTCTGGGTTTAGGAGCCGAATCTCAAATCTCAACTAACACCCGAACACACCAGGATTGTTTCAAAAGTGCAACAGCATAAGCATGTGATAATAACTTTAGTGTGATAAAGAAACAGATAATCAGTGAGTACAGCGGACTGTTGTGACAGATGGATTATCCGTCTCAAACTAATCTGAAGTGTCAAAGATGATTTCCAAGCCCACAGAAATCCATTTGAAAGGCAGGAAATTAATGTCATCCAGTCCGTCCCCCCAATATACAGTCGAAAATATGTTAAATATGTCCTCACTCGTTTAGTGTGCCCAACTTTTCAAACCATCAGGAAACAACAGGAAATATAAATAATAGTAATTAATATTTATTTATTTACTATGGTCTTTTTATATGGTCTATAACAGTTTAGGTAAAGTTAACTTCTTTTAGCAATGTTGCTGCATTCCTAAATCTCAGCTATTGTGAGTAACCGGATGCTGACAGAAATGACGAACAAAACTGGGAAAATAAGACCCAAGTGCAGGACTTCCTTTGTCAGCTGCTGATTTTAACCAAGATTAATATTTTCAGTAAACCTTTCAGTAAATTATAGACTAAGCACAATAGTGACTCTGAAGCTCAGTATTTCAGTACTCAGCTCAGAGTTTTTATAAATCAGCCCCTCCTCTGACACATCTGCACGTTTCACCTCATTTCTCGCCCCCCTCCGAAATGAGTCCCCTGCGTTCATTCCAATTCGTTCCCTGAGCCTCGGTGTTCCAGCCCGCAACGAAAAAGAAAAGGCCCCATAATTGCTTTTCCAACAACTGTACAGAGTGAAAGAGAGAATTGGTGGGGCGGTTCATTCAGCCGGGGAGTTTTTTTTCTTTCTTTTTTGGTCGCATGCATTTGATTTGATTTTAATAACATGTTGTCAGTCAGCAGCAGAGAGCACATTGATTTGTCTCTCCATCGCAGCAGTGACTCAACTGCCCCGACTCCACAGAGAGTCAGACTTTACAAAGTTTCTCTTTTTGTTCATCTTATCTCTGCTGCCCTTTTTCCTTTTGTACTTTTTAATATCATTTAAATAGAGCTGTTCTGCGCTCATTAAAAGTCTAAAACAGAAACACACACACATTAACACACGGATCTGAGTGGTCTTCTGTAAAGCTGGTGCTTGTGTCAGCCCGTTTATACGACATTACATGACCTTTACATCACCCCTAAACCCGGTTTTCAAATCACACCATAGTGCTGTAAATATGGCAGACGCTACACAGCCAAAACGTTACGACCTGGCTGCTCCCAATCAGCCACAAGAGCATCGGTGAGGTCTCGCACTGATGATGGGAATAAGGTCTGGCTTGCAGTCGTCGTTGGATGGGGTTGAGATAAAGATATCTGTGCACGGAAATCTCCTTCACCAAACAGTCACCACAAAGTTAGAAGAAAACTGTCTGAAATATAACTGAATTCTGTCGCATGTAAATGTACTTTAACTGGAACTTTTACGATTGGCAGGTAACCCAGACTGCCAGATAGTGATTCATCACTCCAGACAACATGTTCGCATCCCTCCTGCTGATGATTTGCATCATAAATTGGGGGTCTAAGGCTTGTGTACCACTGATCGGTTGTGCCATGAAACCTCTGACACAGTTATTGTGCAGATGTTGCTTCCTGAGGCAGTTTAGAACTCAGTAGCAGCTGAGGACAATTGATTTTTTCCCGTCCTGTGAGCTTGTGTGGCTGTGGATGTTACCACTTCACAGCAACAGCAAGTGCAGTTGAACAGGGGAAGGTCCACCGTAGCAGAAATTTGACAAACTGAATTATTGGAAAGAGGGCATCATGTGGGAGTGCAGTATCCCCGGGTATAACCCTCCATATTCAACACGTTGTCAAAGACGACAACTGCTTCAATATGACGCTGTAGGTTTCCCCCTTAACATCATTGCTGGATGCACTGAGCTTCCAGAAATTTCAAGTTAGCAAGAATAAATATGCAACGTCCAGTTAGACTTTCAAAATAAAGCTTGCATATTTAAGTATCCTCAGTTTGAGCCACAAAAACTAACTGATTAGGTTTTGGAAAAGATTGTAAGTTATATAATGTACCTGACGTAACTTAAGAACATATAAATAAAATAAAACCTGACTTATGTAACGTATTTCACTTATATGCGTTACTTGTTTACCTCGTTTTTGGGACATCTGATTGAATGAACCATTCGTCATTTTGAAGTCTACCTCTGTTCTATTAACAATCTTTAATCAATGTATCCATACCATAGTTGCCATGCATATAAATAACAGAAAGGAATCATTTTAAAAATGTGTGAAGGCTGGCTGATGACTTCAGTAATGAGCTGTCAGCAATTAAGATGAAAGATGAGACGACTTTGGGATAAATATCATTAAATATCCATCACCAAGGTTTGATATAAGCTAAAACCATCAAAAATAAAGTGAAGTATTTTATCTTTTTTTGTTTAATGTGGCAAAAATCGAGAAAACTGCTTCTCTATTTCTTTCTTTCCCTTCTTCTCGTTTACCATTTCGATAATGACTGATTGTATTGGTCGGCGGAGCGGACAGTTATCACACGCTGGAATCAAATCACCGTATTGTCATCGTCTGTCCTCTTCGGGCTCCTTCATTATCGACTCCTCCAATCTTCCGTTGCCTCCCGGACAAAAGGCGAGCGGCCAATGAATTATGAATGTCAGGAGAGGAAAGCTGATATCATTCTGCTCCCATGCCTGTTCCTAATTAAAAAGGACATGATTAAAAATGCATCCATTAGGATCGGTTGGGTCCTAATCACTCGTTACATTATTAATCAGGCTGTTTATTGTTCCGTGATTTAGATACTGGAGCACTGGGTCATTAATAGGCTGCTACACCCCTGAAGAGGTGTTGATGATCTTTGGCATTAATCAGGTGACAGAAAGCGGAGTGTTTTTTATATCAACATACATCAACATTTCAGCTACGGTACTATCCAAGGTGGAGGGGAGAGTTTCTAGAGTGGGGTTGCTAGCATATCAGGAAGGAGGCTAAATACTGCTCCAAATTTAGGCAAACCCTTGACCTCTGTCTCCAAGATATCTGAATGAAAATGGGTCCTATGGGTACCCATGAGTCTCCCCTTTACAGACACTTTATGCTAATCCCATGCAGTTTATTGCATGTGGTATAAATGTGTTATTTAAGCCTTGTGTATTTGAATATTTCTGCTGACTGGGGTCCATAAACTGTGTTGGAATTACATAAATTGGGAATGACAGGAAAGCTGAGACACATACTTAATGTCACCCCTGCATGAGCCACACTTATTCCAAGGTGGTGATATGTTTGTATTTGTCAAAGATATAGACAGTATGCACAAGATTGCAGACTGGATCTTTGACAGATTTTATTTTTATACAATCAATAAACTTTTGGAAATAAACAGTGATAATTTCCAGATACAGGTCCTTTTTGTCCAGTGATGAGACTTATGTTAAGTTAAACTTGTTTCTGCACTAATACTAATAGTAAGAGTGTTCACTTACATTAATGTTAACCCTGCGAGGCAGCTGGACTCACAAGATCACAAAATCATGAGATCATGCAAGAGAAACAGGTTAGCATAAATGCTGTTAGCATCAGTTATATCAGAACTGGAGAGTATTTCTTGACTGAAACGATATCCTGTAGCCTCCACTGTCTCCAGATCTCAACCAGCTGAACTCCACAGGATTGGAGAATCTATGATGACACATTACTAACTACTTTTAATTTGTCACCAATCTGTATCCATAAAAGGTCTCCGAAAGTGCATTACAAAGCCTTCGCTCGCAGGATGAAACTCCAAATAAACCTCAGAACACTGACTGACGTGATCCCGCGGAGACGCAGCGAAGCACCGAGAAATTAAATTAGTTCGACTTTTACCAACTTTCACTTTCAAGCTTTGACATTTGACAGAGCTCATTAAGTGTGTATAATGTCACAATAAAGTCAGAGGCTTATTTTCACAAGTGTGTAATTGCATTCAAAAATCAAGCAGAATACAGAGAGAGAGAGATAGAGAGAGAGAGGGGCAGAAGCTCGACTTCTTCTCAATTATTAAAATGAAATGTTGAACTATGGCTGGACATTATGTTTACCAGCATATTTATTAAAATATTTCTATAACCACATGAGGAATTACTCCATGTGACATTAGTATGTGAGGACAGGCCTGCTGCCCGCTCATGTGTCCACATTGCCCTCCGGTGGTAGAGGCAGTGTAGTGCAGCTGCAGCCTCAACAACACACAGTGTCAACATGCTGCTGTATGTGCTGGAGTATCTCAGTGCTCTTGAGCAAGAACGCAGAACCTTCAAACCTCAATTTTTGATGAAGATGCAAGAATTCATTTTAAAGCTTTTCTTAACATTTAGTTTAAATTATATTTACTTAAAGTCGGTTAAGTTAAAATCCGGCACATAACACAAGAATAACAAAGGAACAAGATGTGCAGAGACAAAAAAAGACAAAATGAAATCAGAAATCCATTTTGGTCTCCACCTGAGAAAAATATTTGGCTATTTAGCTGCTAAATTTTTCACTTTCTCCACCGGCAGCCCTCTAACTGTGCTTGGGTCCCACGCAGGTACATACAGGGAGTGAAACTGGTTTGAGTTATTTTCCAAAAGTTAGTAGAGAATGACAGAAAGCACTCATATAAGACAAAGCACATTTGTTCTTTTAACAATCAGAAATGTAATAACGTAACTTTTACGCAGTCACACCGGATGCTGCTCTGATCTGGAGGCTTTTACTGGCAACAGCAGAGCTCAGAGTTTATTTTTTAAACTTTCGGGATTAAAGAGTGGATTTATCTTTACTCTCTCTTCTCAACCTGTCTGCTGCGAGCCACAGAGGTGTATCCGTCTGAGTGCACCCAGAGCTCCATGATACTGCTTCATATTTATACAGAGAGCAGACAGAAAAGGAGATTGCTCAGAGAAAAGTAAAAGGGGAAAGTGGACTACCTGGCGAGTCTGTTATTGATTCGAGCTGTCGGTTTTACTTTACTATGAACTAAGTTAGCAAAGCCCTGATCAACCAAACTCCATTCAGAAAACAAGCAAAGTTTGTTTTTATTGATTTGAACTACAAAGACTAAAGAACTTTAGCTGATCAAGAAAACTGTGACCGTTAAGTGTTCACTCTGTGACGTCTGTCTCCACAGGAGCTGTACTCCCAGTCCTATGACGCCGTGGGCGTGATGTTCGCATCCATCCCGGGCTTCGCCGACTTCTACTCCCAGACTGAGATGAATAACCAGGGAGTCGAGTGCCTGCGGCTACTCAACGAGATCATCGCCGACTTCGACGAGGTGAGGCAGCAGCTCAAGTGCGCCCACTTTTAAACATGAAGGGGACCGACGTCAACGTCTTCCATTTTTAAATTAAAGCACCCATCTTATCCCACAGGACACTTCTGGAGTGATTGAAGCAAACGCAACGTATCTTATCAGGTCATCAGAAGACTTTACATAGAAAAACATTGTTTTCATTAAGTGACCAGCGCTGATTTCCCTCAGAAGTTACAGAAGGGATTTTATTTAAGATTGCTTGTTTATCACAAAGATTTCTCACAGATTTTATAAAAGAAGTTCAGAGCAAACTGAAACAGAAAATCCTCCTGATGGCAGCAGAACTACAGTGATAAATATCTTTACCTGGAGGCTTGTGATGGTTCAACAGTCTTTAAGTTTTAGGAGTGCCAGTCAGGTCTGTGTCCTGACATGGAAGTTTGTCCCATGACAACTAACAAAAGCTCATGACTGAAACCACACAACAAATTTTTTTTCACTTAAAGCTGCGGTAGGATAATTTTTACGAGGTTTTTTTTGTCATATTTGCTGAAACTTTCCATATATCCTGACAGTAGCACATGAGACAGATAATCTGCTAGAACGAGCCAGAGGAACCAGATTTTTTCAGATGATCTCATGTTCTGTCAGGATACAGTGAAAGTTTCAGCAAATATGACAAAAAGTTACCTACTGCAGTTTTAAACTACAATGAAAAAATAAAGTTAAAGCTCAGATTGTGTTTTTGTAATAAATAGTGTATGTGGTTATGTCTGCATGTCTGTATGATGGTACAAATGGTTGTCCACTAATCAGAAGGTTGGCGGTTCGATCCCCGGCTCCTCCTGCTGCATGTTGAACTTGCTCCCGATGCTGTGCCATCGGTGTGTGAATGTGTAAGTTTCTGTTTGTGATGGCCTTTGGCATCACTGAAGGAGTCAATGTGGCATACAGTGTAACAGCACTTTGAGAAGACTAGAAAGGTGCCATACAAGTACAGTTCATTCACCATATCCAACAACAAGCTGTAGCAGCCAATAATTTAATACTCTCAGAAAAGAGCCCAAAACCAGTCCTTTAAATTATACTCTTGGTGATTAATAATCCATCTGTCCAGTAGAAGAAAAACATACTTCCAGTTATTTTAACTGATTTCAAATCAGATGAGTTCTGAGCTGTTTAAACTTAAAAATGTAAAACATGAGTCAACTGAACGTAGGTTTAATAATTGGTGTAGTCTTATGAAGTAAACTGAACTTGTGAAAACATGTTCAGTAAGCTTTAAGATGTTAAGTTGAACCAACAACTGTTCACTCACATTGAGGAATCTAGACTGGACACATTATTTGGGTCAGGCTTTGAGTTTAAATTCTGGATTCACTTTTCCTCGACAGCTTAAACTGAAATTTTGTGTCCTTATTTTTAGAAAGTGACACAAAGAATTTCTGATCTTAGGATGTAGGAATTAATGGAATAAGTAAATGAAAAAGCTCGTCAGAAATCCTCAGTGAAAAACCTAAGCAACTCGACTGAACCTGGAGCACGAACATCTCGGTTCCCTGTGGACGGACTGAAGTCTGGAGGAACTCCTGCTTCTGATCGATGCCTTCGAACTGAAGAAAATGTCAAAGACTCTGAATAAGAGGCAGAGAGCTCGAGCTACTCTCCTTACTTTCACACACTTTTCCCTCAAACAGACTTTTCTCCACCGGGGAACTCGCCTTGAGAGAGAGAGAGAGAGTAATAAGGCGCAGTGACTCGTAGTATTAGAAGCAGAGAACGATATCACAAAGGCATTTTATAGGAGACAATTAAAAAAGCCGTTAATCACATGCAACCATATGAAACTGAATATTTTCTGCAGTTTTGAAACAATTATTTCACAATCTGCTAATTTCTATTTCTGTAGCATTGTTTCAGTCAGTCAGGTTGGCAGGATGATGCTTCATGTTGTTTCAGTAGATGGTACCTTTTCTTTCTGACTTGTCCTGACACAGATATCAGTATCAGAAAAGCATCTGATATTATATCATCAGCCCAGAGACAAGACCCGACTTCTTACCAGCAGCATCCTGTTGGCCATTCCTTTGCTCCAGGATGGCGAAGTCATGACCTCCCGTACTCTGACTCTACCCTGATATTCTCACCAATCTAACCAACCTAAAACAGCAAAGGCAATGACTCAGAGTCACAGCAGGGCAGGTCATGAGCGCTGGCTGCCATTGGGCACTGGCAACTACTGTTTTAGAGCCACGAAGAAGAGATGATGTCAGTTAGCCAGAGCTAGCTGAATGTCAGCAATTTGACTGTTTTCAATATGGGAATCGATTTGAAAAGATGTCATCACATTTAAAAATCTAATTCGGATGTGTTTGTGTTGCAGTATGTCAGGAAAATGTAGCTTGCAGGAAATCCATTTTATTTTAGTAAAATGATTCCAAACCAGACTGAAAACAACCTCAGACAGAAAGTTTTTAGAACAGCAAAACTACTTTTTATTTGAGAGTCAATGTTGTGTTCAGAGCAGCCAGTTGTAAACAGTAGATTGTAACACTTTATCACCAATAGTTTTATGTAATTTTTGCTTTATAAGATCATCCAGTTATGAATCAGACTGGCAGAAGGCAGGAAATACACAGATCGTTGGATTCTTATTGGATTCATTTGATTCTGGATGTCTTCACAATAACGAGTCCAATCTGCTGATGATGATTAGCAGAAGATTTTTCTGAGATCAGAAAAATAAACACTACCTGATGCTCTCTTTGTCACAGTTGCTTGGTGAGGAACGTTTCCAGGACATCGAGAAGATCAAGACAATCGGCAGCACCTACATGGCCGTCTCCGGTCTGTCGCCAGAAAAACAGGTGAGATCCTCCAGGTGTCGTGTGAACATATATCGCTGACTCACCTGTGTTTAACCTGCCTGCAGGTGAGTGTGAGCTGAGTTGATGGTTAGCGTGTTTTTTTTATAGGAACATATCTTTATTTATGTAAAATATAAACTTATATTATAGAATACCTAGTATTAGATGAGATACAAGTATAAGTCTAATATTTATATATATTTAAAAATTAACTGAACTAAATGAATATACAGTTAATATATTTTCAATGATTGGCACAAAAAAAGTACCAAAAATGTATTATAGTTTCATTTGGAATATTTGTGTGTAGTGTAATAATCAAATAATGATGATAAAAATATTATTATAGAACGATTTTGGTTGTGAAAATACCGATTTACTAAAGATTCTTGTAATTTACATACATTTTTAATGTATGTTTGCGCTGTTACCATTCAAATTGGTACCATTCATGTAGGATGAGGACTGGTTTAGTTACGGAGCCTCTTCACGTACCGGAAGGTGAAATCCTGCCGTCACAGCATAGGTGACGGCACCAAATAAACTGAGAATGACTCCACGAATCTAGTAGCGGTATGAGTCGTAGAAGTAAAAATAAACACATAAGTCAGTAAATGCACCTTTGAGAAAACAAATCCTACGTCAGTGACTTCCAGGTCCACCTCAGTGACATCAGGACTGTCGGTGCTTCACAAGAGGAGCTCTTCTGACCGCCACGTTTCCTCTGACACATCGACACACTTCACCTCTCACCGCTCTCGTTTCATTTCCGACATGCTGCCCTCCAGCCGCCGCTGACGTTCAGCTGACTCACACTCTCTTCTCCTCTGCCTCCTACAGCAATGCGAAGATAAATGGGGTCACCTGTGCGCCTTGGCCGACTTCGCCATCGCCCTCAACGAGAGCATCCAGGAGATCAACAAGCACTCCTTCAACAACTTCGAGCTGAGGATCGGTAAGTGCTCCGTCTTCCTGAGAGAGGATTCATTTCCTTGTTATGCTTTTTTTTACTGACTTCGGATTATGCTTCCTCTCAAATTTTCCCCAGCTATCTGTCTTCCACCTCATCTAATCTTTATCCTCATTTCAGTTTTTAATCTTTCTTTAATCCTGTGATGAAGGGTGTAGGACATTTCTGCTGCATCTAACGAGATTACATTATAGTCATTACTGATCAATTCATTATGTTCTTTGATTGTTTAATGATCCTTGAATCTCTACAATGATAAAAATAGAGAAGTTCCCAGAGTCCAAGGTTTTATTCACCAAATAGTCCAAAACCAAGAAAAAAACTACAAAAATTACCAAAAAAAATGAAATTTTAGGCTGCGATGTGTTTCCTTTAGGCCCGTGATCTTACATTTTTGATGTGAAGAAACATGTTATCCAGATGGAATCTGTATTACAAATCATTAAAGAAAAATCAATCCGTGTTCATCAATTAAAATCCTTTAATATTGAAAGACTAGGATGATTGAGCATCCCCTCTGCAGTTGCACCAACTGACCACCTGTATGTCTCCCGGCAGGTATGGCCCACGGCTCAGTGGTGGCGGGCGTGATCGGCGCCAAGAAACCTCAGTACGACATCTGGGGGAAGACGGTGAACCTGGCCAGCCGTATGGACAGCACAGGGGTCAGCGGCAAGATCCAGGTCCCAGAGGAGACATACCTGATCCTGAAGGAACGCGGCTTCGCCTTCGAGTACCGCGGCGAGATCTACGTGAAGGGCATCAGCGAGCAGGAGGGCAAGATCCGAACACACTTCTTGCTTGGCCGGGTGCAGCCCAACCCGCTCATCCTGCAGCCTCGCAAAATCACCGGCCAGTACTCGCTGGCAGCCGTGGTGCTTGGCCTGGTGCAGTCGCTCAACAGGCAGAAGCAAAAGCAGATCCTCAACGAGAACAACAACTCGGGCATCATGAAGGGCCACCACCACTACAACCGGAGGACGTTGTTAGCGCCCGGTTGCTCCGAGGTGGGGGGAGGGCATCACACTGAAGTAGCTGATAAGACTGAGCTGTCCTGAAGAGCAGACTGGAGTTTTAGTTCCACACAGGGTTCTCAGAGGCAGAGCTGCTCTTCAGGCAGAAAGTGTCCCAGTGGTTGAGTTGAACTTCAATGGGTGCAGCTGAAGAACGTCCGTCTTCTGGCTACGTAACGTTGGGACACAGGCACAGTTATTCGGGAATCATATGAACTTCAGCATTCCAGTACTAAAAGGTTCACCTGGTTCCAGTCAGACCTCTGAATGGTCCCCCATATTTCTGATTTTTTTTTCAGCAAGTAGGTCCTGTTGTGCATACTGACGGCTGTTCCCACAGCTGGAAGAACCATTTAGACCTTTGTAGGCAGGATTAAAAACAGGGACATCATGGTTCCTGCACTAGAGCCAGAATCCATTCTAAACATAAATGACTGGTAGTGGTATCAACGGGATCAATACATTCGTTGCCACTTGTTATGAACTGAATCCATTATTAGGTTTCATCAAATCTTTTTAAGCTGGAGATGTACTTGCTTTTTGTGTTGTGTTACGTTCTGAGTATGTGCACAACCAACGGTCCAATGGGACGCAGGATACACAGGCAGCCATCATGCGTACACGAACACCCAATTAAAAGCAAGTATATTTCCGGCCTTAAACCTTCTGACACTAATGCCTAATGATTCTGAAACAAAGCTGCAGAGAAGGGTGTTATGGGTTGCAGAGGCATTTTGAAGACTCACAAAAAGTCCCAAATCCCAAGAACTCAGAGCCAATTTCACAAAAGTAGTTTGCCAGAACACACAGGTTGCATAATGAATTGGATAGGGCTCGAATATGCTCATGCAGGAGTCGCAAGTTGTTTGTTGTAATTAGTGAAGCTTCAAAATTCGCACAAGAGGAAATTATCTCATGTAGCAAATTCGGCCTGACTGCAAAAAAAAATGTAGGTAACAGGTAATTGAGTTTACTTCCTCAAGGGACGCTGATTGGTCCGGTACCACTGTAGTTCGGCCACAAATGCATAGATTGAAGCAAGATGGATTTTTGCCTGATCTTGAGTCCAGCTGCCACCTTACGAAGCAGGCCCCCGAGCGTTACATAAGCTGTTGGGACACAAGTTCAAATTGGATAACACTAACGTTATCCATACAAAAATGAAACAAACAGCCCTGTATGTTCCCCTACATTCAACCCAGAGAAACATGTTGCAGCCTTAAAGGTCCCCTGTGGAGTTTTTGACCACTACTAGCACTACGGAGCAATGTTTTAACGTGTCGGGACCCCATTTTGTTTGTTCTTGGACGTACATGAATCCACAGATGTACAAAAAAATGAAATAATTGCTGGTTTCAAACAAGAAAAATTGACTTTCCAAATGTAAATACAACAAGTTTGTTAGTGTTTTGGCGAGAAACACTGAATGTAAACAGAAACTTTGTTGTTTGTTTACAAGAAAACTCCACAGGGCAGCTTTAATCCTACAGCCATGTGAAGGCAGGATATCTGGAAAACGTAGCTACATATTCATTTTGGTTGAGTCTCTTGTTGCTAAAATATCAATAGCGGGTTAGCCTAGCTGAGCTAACAAGGTCCGAGGTAATCTTGTAATCTAGCCTGCTGACCTTTCAACATCATGAATGTCACGTAAGAATGAATAAAATCGCTTACATTTTTTTCACCAAAGTTACTTTTCCAGGTTTGCCAGTCAGCCCAAATGTGTCTGTGAACGTTTCTGTGGCTCCTCCCACTCAGGTGTAACTCAACCAATGAGATTATTTCTGCCTCCTGATGCAGCTCTGCTTCTGATGAATGTTTGTAGAACTGAAACTCCACTTTGTTCCTGAAGGAGGAGGAGGTGGTGGAGGAGATTGTAGAGGAGGAGGAGGAGGAGGTGGGGTAGGGAAGGAGGGAGGGACTGGACGGGACCGCCGCGTTCTGTTTTCATCCACCCTCATCTGTACGATGTCTGTGCGACTGATCCCCTCGAACTGTCTGACGTTCCTCCTGTCGTTTCCACTTTCCCTTTTTATGTCGCCCGGCAACCGACCCGCCCCCAAAACCTAGAAACCCCGTCCCGCTCTGACCCTCGCCCGGTGTCGATGTTTCTTTTTTGTATTTCTTTTATATATGAGAACACAATAAAAGGGGTCTAATTTTTTATATAAGCCATGTGTCTGGTTGCCTTTATTTAGCCACATTTGTACAACTAGACCATGAGAGGGTTGTATCAGGAGGTCAGCTCTGATCATACGATATGTCACATTCATTCTCATGTATTATTTACGTTCTTTTACCAATTTCTTTCACAGGACGTCTGTAAGGCACAGACAACTAGATGTCTGCAGTTGTACAAGAGTAGATGACTTTTGACGGATTTTATTATGAATACATTTCAGACACACTGACACCAAACAGACTGTTTGTATATATGTCTTAATACGTGTCTGGAGAGGATCTTTAAAAATAATTTCAGACACAAACTTATTTATACAGCACCTTGTCATAATGTTACACAAAGCTTTACAAAGGACACAAAACAATAAATCTGCATCACAAGCAAATAAATAGAAATAATTACCTAAATGCAATCAAATGAGATAAAAAATAATAGAAACATAACACAAAGTGAAAAGTTAGTTTAATGACACAATCATTGCTGTGAAATAATATGGAATCGATGAAATTGTGATGAAAGATACTCGTCCAGAGTCCCCAGTAGTTTTACAAATGTCTGTGAATGTGTGAAACCTCATTTATTGTGCAAATTGGATACATTCGACACAGGACTGTTTTACTTATAAAACAGGCAGATTAAACTACAGTGTGAAATATCAGCCTGCACACACACAAACACACACACTGCATTGTTCTTTCTAAATAACTTTTATTTGACTAAACTGATTTAGGTCCAGATCTGTTTTTTACAGGGTGTAGTGTCTTAAAGTCTAAAAACCAACATAAATTAAAATGTCATAATAATATTGCCAAGTCTTAAAAACTGATTGGATTATTTGTGTTTCTGGGAAGAACTTGTATTGATCACGCTGTAACAACAATATGGAACCAATGCTGATTTCCCTTTATAGCCTTTTTTTGCCAGTGTGAAGGTAAAATACGTCTTAAACTGCATTCATAAAGGGGCCGTCCGGACGTTGCGTCTTTTGCACGAGCAAAAACATTAAATTGACCGTCCTTGTGTTTTATTTGCTGTTGGTGCTGGCACCTGTTTTTTCGGCCGCGTCCACAGTGCACAAATGTGGAAGAAATCTACTTTTTACAATTCAGAGCGCACTACAGGTCATGTGACGAGAATTAACCACCATCGTCCTGCAACCCACAGTTTAAGATTTAACCTGTTGAATCCTGCAGAAACCCTGCATTTAGTAAAATATGTTTTTAATAAAGTTATTTCAGTAATTAGGGATGATGATGTACACACACATTTGGACCAAGAAAATCGTTTCAGGTTCTACATGTTCAGTGTTTCCAAGCTTCAGTATGAGCTGCTGCACGGACATGAGACATTACATTTAGGAGAAGTGTCAAGATTAAAAAGCCATGTTAAAGAAACAAAGGTTTTCCAGGATTCCCAAGAACCCCGAAGCTTCTTTCAGTAAATCAGATTAAAAGGATTAAAATGAAAACTAAATGTTTAAACAGAGAATTTCCCATCAGGCTGCTGGGCTTTCTGTTCATTTTCACTTTGATGAACTGGAGCTGTGAGAGCTTTCATTCCCACACCAGAGAAAGAACTCTGTCTTCTTCCTCCTGAAAAAGGTTCTGATGAATCACATCGTTGGACCAGCGCGAAGAGGAGGAGCTGGAAATGAAACCAGACACCTGCTGCATGATCCCAAACCATCTGGACTCCGACTGACTGAGCTGAAGGTTGATTATCAGCTTCAGACCTGATCATCTGTACAGCTCAGCTGCAGACAGCTGTCCTCCCTGACTGTAACACAAAAACACATCTCCAGGAACAGAAGTAGCCAGAGGAGACTGATAGTAGTCAGAAAAACATATATATTAAACTACTGAGTACTTCAAATAACGTGGCCAGTCTGTTTTAAACAGAAATTGTGTTTAATTGAGCTCTGAGTTTAGGTGGTCTTTTGTTCATTTTAGGACCATTTGCATGAGTTCATTGAAGCAGGGAAAACATGGGGAGGTGGATGTTAGTTGAAACACTAAAACGTGACAAATCAGTGGAGTATTTGTGTGTAAATAGAGCTGTTACTTATGGAAGCCCATTTCCGACATAAAAATCATGAACCCTGCATCAATAAAAAAGGAGGAATAAAACTGGAGTTTGTCAATACAAGGCCTACCAGTAAATAATATGACTGTTTGTGAGTATGTGCTGTCATGTATTGTCATAAAAAACTGTCCTAGAAAACGACAGTTTGGCACACAGGTTGTCAGACAAACAGCAATCAATCAGGTAGAAGGTGTGTTCAGTTAACTCATGAACTCATCAGCTGGACGGGTGTGGGACAGAGTATATAGACAAACACATGCAAATACAAAAAAAGGGAATAAAAATGATGAAATGATGTTCATTATAAAGGCATCATGTCTTAAACTAGACCTTCAGTTTGCCAAAAATGTGAATCTGGATCTGATGAAGGAGGAAAGAATCCGTACAACACCACCAAATGTCTGGAAAAGTTACAGTGTTTCTTTAGTTTAAGTCTGTATATCTCAGCTTTTTGTCCTTTTCTGTTGATTGTATTAGATTAGATTAGATTAGATTAAATTTTAAATTTCATTGCACAAGTACAAGTACTAGACAACAAAATGCAGTTAAAAATCTAACCAGAAGTGCAAAGCAAAGTGCAGAGTGTATACGTACAGGGATGTAATAAAAAAATAACATTATAGCTATATATATGAATATACAAGCAGGATATATACAGTATGAACAGCATTAACAGAATGAACTAATGTATCTAATCTCACTTTGAACTGTTTGCCTTAAATAACACTTTTTTTGCCATTGTTTCTTAATTTGAATTTGTTTTTGATTCCACACTTCTGCTATTTGACTTCATCAAAGACGCTGATGAAGGATAAAATGCACAAAATGAACCTCCATGAAACAGTAGAGAGAGAAAAAACCCTTTGAAAAGACCCCAACTTCCCAGTTTTTAGTCTGAAATGGGTTCTCACTGGTGAAAAGATGCAATGAACACTGTAGAGAGTTCATGTTCTGATAAACATACTAATCCAGTAGCTGATGTATTCTGTGTGAGAGCTGATGTAGCTCAGTTTTGAGTTTACTCACCTGATGAGTTAGTTCAGCTCAAACTGTTTAAGGAAACCAATAAACAGTTGAAATATTTTTTATATTTAAATTTACTCTGACAATTTCAGCATGTAAAAGTAAGTAATTTATTGTTAAAGGTAAATTAAGTTCATTGTACTTAAAACTAGTGAGTATATTACACTCATATGCAGAATTTTCCCAAACTTATTTAAAATGTGTTAAATGAATAAAATAACTGCATACAAATGTTACCACTGAAGTTGAATTTACTGGCATACGATAAGAGTTGGGTTTAATTAATGTGCATAAGTTATTTTAGCTTACTACTTTTATTAAGATGTGCTGTGGGGGTTTACAGTGTACTTTTTACTCCACTACAACTTAACAGCTTTAGTTACTTTGCATGTTCAGTTACTGCAAAATATAAATCAACAAATACATAATTATATATTGTTATAGATTAAGCTGCCAGCAGTAGTAGCTGAGAGCTGCCCCACCCTGCAGCTGTAACATTAATGCATCTGTTATCATAACCCAGTTAAACAATATAGTTACTTTGAGTATATTTTGGTGCTAATGTATTTTTGTACTTTTATGTTAGTGAAATGTCTGAATACCACAAAACAGTGTCATCATAATCTATCAACACAAACCTCCTGCAGTGTGTACAAACGTCCACTAGATGGCAGAAGAAGCTCAGTCAGAGTCCTGCAGTGACACACTGAGGAGAGTCTCAGTCCTAAAAGCAGATGAATATCATTGATCCATCTGTGGCTGCAGGAATATTTCATCCAACCTGTTTGTATGTTTTTGGAGAAGTTATGTAGATACTCAGTTATCTTGGTTTGGACAGAATAAACCTCAGGAACACGTTCCACTTTTTCAAAAAGACCAATGAAAGAAACTTCAGTAAGAGATTGGACTGATTTTAGTGTACTATGCCGTACTCACCATCAAGTAAGCTACAAGCTCCATGATAACACAGGCCTCACATTTCTTTTATATATTTATTTTAAAATGCAAACACTATTCTCTATATACAGACACAGAGTCACATGGTGTCTCTCTCCCTCTGCCTGTGTTGTATCGCAGCCTCTCTGTGGTTTGTTTCCATAGCCGGTCTGCTCCGACTGAAAACTGCTGTTTTTATCATC